ACCTACGGTAGTTCTTCGTATTCACACGCGCCCTAACCCACCCTGCGACGACGGTTGATAGATTTGGTTAGGCGTGCCTACCAACGTAACCAGCCACGAACCTGGTGAATGAATGTGTCACTGCACGAACTTCAATCTGCACAAGCAGAGCTCTCAAAATTGTCAAATTCAAAGCTGAGCAAAGCTCCGACTTCTCTCAAGCCTAGAGAGGAGGAAGTAAAGGCACTTGTGCCCTTGCTAGCTAGGTATATGGAGCTTTGCGGAGTTTGCAGGCCAGGGTCGTGGTGGCTTCGAGGAGAATCAGAGCAGGAAGAGGAGCTGGCTGCAAAACCTACCTGGATTCTATTATTTGTACAAAAGGACGGCGAAACCCTAAATATGCATTTGCAGGATTGAGCGGCCTCAATGCAACATATCAGTGGCTTTGATCAATGCACCTTAAGTTGTACACATTCTGCAAGTTAGCTGGATTTCCATGATCAGATGGTCGTTTATGATTTTATGATTTTCCAGTTCACAACACTTGTTTGAGAATCTGCAGCCTGGACAAGAGTGGGCTCCTCAACATAATAGTAGCTTTGACCACTATGACTTGGAGCATGTAGTACCCCTTCTGCAAGTCAGCTGTCAACAATCCAGATCAGGTGGTTGTTCACATTGTATACCCTCCGTTCACACTTGTTTAGCAATTTATCATTGCACAAGAATGGGTGTCCTCCCTGGCCCCCCCCAGCGCGACAACCGGGGCGCCGCAGACTGCAACTACGCCGGGCTGCTAGCTTACGCCTGCGGCTCTTCGGTTGCAATTGTGGAGCTGCAATCTATGCAAATTGTGCACGCTCTGTGGGGAGATAAACCAGACGTGTATGTGACCGCTGTCTCCTGGTCGCCTGAGAGCCTCTCGCGAGACCTCAGCGGTCAGGTGGCCAATCTGAAGCTCGCGACTGGGGACAGCACTGGCAGGGTTGCACTCTGGGATGCTGTGGGGGGTCAGTTTGTTATGTGGTTGGGGGGAGGGGAGGGAGCTCCGCGGAGTGGGGGGATCATCCTCGATCTATGTTGGGTGCTCGGTCGGCCCTGGCAGCTCGCAGCTCTGCAGGCGCCTTCATCGCTGGTCATCCTAGACACCACCAGGTCAGCTAGCATCCAGAGGGACTGTACGGAACAAACTTCTGACTTGTTTCCTTGTGTTCCTTATGGGGGCCAATATATAATTTCTGAGAAGAACTCCCTTTCAGCCTAGTCATTGTGGCTGACGGCCAGCGATAAACAGGGCCATGTTGTTTCAATGAGCTTGGTTGAAGTCCTCTTGTACACAATTGATCTGTAAACAAGTACATTCCTACGTGTCCTCTTGATGCCAGTGACTGTTCCCATAGATTGTTTTGTGGCCAATAAGCGAGGCAAGCTACACTTGAGCTCACACATCAAACTTCCAACTAGATCCTCGACTAAACAAAGTCAGCAGGGCGAAATATTGCACTTTGTCGATCTCTTTTGGCACATGAATCCCTGCAACCGTTCTGCAGTGGAAAGCCACTCTGGCGGCTTGAGGCAACAGAGCCCCTGACTTGCTTAAGATGTGACCCGTTCGATGCCCGCCAGCTCTGCGCCATGGGATCTAGAGGGCTACTGCTTCTCTTGACTCTGAATGGGACAAGTAAGTCTTTCTGAAATTACTTTTCAGCTTCTCACATCTTCTCACATCTGTTTTGTCCAGAAGATAACCTCAACTTTGAATTACGAGCCTTTCCGGTACTATCTTTGTGCGTTTTTCCAAAATGGCACTGTCTCTGATTCGAGCATTGGTCTCTACTGTGATCCTTGCGGATCAAATGTCCAGATTTGATCTAGAAAACGGTTTTCGAGTTCCTGGGAAGGTTTGTTGAAAATTCACATAAGGTAGTCCAGCAAGGAGTCGCAGACAGATGCGCTCCACGTTTGCAAGGGGTTGCAGTGCTTGGGAGTCTTCATACTATCTTCACCAATGAACAAAGGAGGAAAGTTTCACAGCCGCTCTAACAGCCTCCCAAACCCCTTCACCTGAACGTGAGCTCGCCCTTCTGTCCATTTTGCAGAATCGCAAGACATTCAGCACACAGAGCATCGTGTCCCGCTGGGCGATGCTCTGGAGGCTCCAAAGAAGGTCGACAAGAAGGACGAGAAGAAGGAAAAGGACGAGGCGCCGCAACTCAACCTGCGGTGTATGTTTTCTCCAGGGGTAAGGGCCCAGTGCTTCTGCTAAGTGTCGTCTCGTCTGTTTCAGGAATCCTGATGATACCTACGTGCGGCTCTGGTTTGACATCATCATCTTTCAGCGACTCATGTAATGATTCTCATATAATGATTGAACTTCGAAGGTTTATTGTGCATTTTGTCAAGAGAGGTAGATTGCCCCTCGGTATTGGCTGGCGGCTGGTAGCGCGAAACTGGAAAGTTGGACCGTTTTAAAGGTTAGGTCCCATCCAAAGGATGCGCTTTCGTCTTAATACAGTGATGTGCCGCTTTGTGGCTAACAAAGTACCTCGATTTCTACGACATCTCCTCGTCGTTCTTTCCAGGTGCCAAAGCTTGTGTACGTCATGCTGCCAAAGGAGATTCTGGCTTTCGACATTGAATGTAAGTCCTGGCAGCCATTCGCACAGCCTTTTCGACAAGGACCAGTCAGCTTTTGAGGCTCTCGTGCGACACCACGGTCTGAAGCTAAGCTGGACAGTTCGCACCAGTCTTGTTAACGGACTTTCGAACAAAGTAAACCGTCTGGTCTCAATGTATACTGCCCCTTCATTCAACTGGACGTGTGTGCGAGTAGTGTTCGCTTATTTGTACCACTTCCGATATAGGAAGACTGGTCAGCCCCTGCTTGCATGGTAACAATTCCGTTGGATCGCAAGGCGCCGTTTCGACGTCTCTCCCAGTCTCCTGCAGATTTCACTTGATTCGCTCATCAAGATCTTACTAAGCGTTTGCTTGTTTGCTGAGCCCTCTCCATCAGCCGACGGTTTTTTATGTAACCTTGTCACAGTCCTTGCTGCTTGGTCTGACCCTTCCTCCGTCCCCTTTGCCCATGAGATATCGGTACCGGGCTCACACCTTAACTGAAGCAAAAATCAGACAAGCTCCACACTGAAATTCACTTGAAAGCCCCGTATTCACCCCGCCCGTCCCCCAGATTCGGTCCTTCCTTCACGTATGATTCAACGTTTCTTTGCTACGTTTCCAACGTCTCGCTTCTTTATAGACCGTCAACGGGCTACCAAGAGAATCTGAATGTAAAAGGGTTTCACCTTTTGCTCCTAAGTCGCCTCGTCTTGCTGACTTAACCTCCGCTTCAGACCTCTGCCCCGTACAGTCTGCCTCTAACCCAGTTCTTGAAACCCTGAGCGTTTCAATTCCCGCACAGTCTATCTCTAACCCGATTTCAAACCCGATTCGGCAGTTGGCCAAGTGGTGGCTTCCACACCAGTCCCCAGGAATTATGCGAAGCTGCTCGACCTCTTGACTGTGATCGACGGCGAACTGCTCTACTGCCTGCATTCAGATGGGAAGCTCAGCGCCTGGCTAAGAAAAGAGTGAGTCTGCCTTCTCTCCCAACGGCTCATTTTCTTGTGTTTCTTGGACCGCAAGGTTTCTTACAAATTCGTTTTTGGGCCATGGCGGAGCCCCGATTGTGTTATGCAATTGAATGGCTTTGCTAAACCTCTAGAAGCTTGAACATTCAAGTATCGGCGGGGGACCGTAAGCATGGTTGTTGGACCCCTTGCTTGAGCCACACTGATTTAAAAGTGCAAAAGTCGGTCTAGCACTTTACTCACTAAAGGGTCAGATGAGCTTCTCTCCCTTCCTCTCGCAATCCGAGCATCGGTTTCGGATTGAAGGAGCAGTTGCTTGCTGAGAGTCAACCGAGACTTTTCGTTCCCGCAGGAAGAAGCAAACGTTTGCCATGAAGCACGTGGAAAATCTGCTTCCGTCACTAGCCACCCAAACGGGCGTCAGCGTCCAGGTCCTAGCAGCCGCGCACGCCCCAACTCTCCATGACGCCCCAGGCCTCAGCCTCGGTTCCGTCCCGCTAACCCCTGCCGAAACTTCCGGAACCCCCCCGGGAACCGTCGGAACATCGCTCCTGTCCATAACGGACGACGGTCGGGTCTGGAAGTGGGAGATAAGCGCACATTCTCACAACCCGCCCGTTAACCCGGCCCCTGACCAGGCGGAGGGGCCCACTTTCCGTGCAGTACTAGCGGGGATTCTGCACACGCTCCCTGGGTTAACCACCACGCTTTCGGTTCCAAACCCATCTGCACTAACCCCACAGTCCACCCCCTTCGACGGCCTTCCCCGGACGCCCCCCCCTCCGGTCCCATTAGCCGCTCTCGCCACGTCAGCCGGGAGTATCGAGATCGTTGACACCGCGGCGCTCTCCGTAGTCTCGTCCTTTTCTGTGCACTCTGGCGCGGTGCGGGGGGTGCGCTGGCTCGGCAACTCGCGCCTCGTCTCGTTCAGCTCGGCCGAGGTCAAGGGCAAAACCCCCGGGTTTATGAACAAGTTAGCGGTGACCTGCGTCCGCTCGGGGCTAACCAAACCCTTTCGGGTGCGCACGACCGCGGAACGGGGCTCGATGCGCGGGCTGCGAACCTCGTCGAGCGGTCGGTACCTCCTCGTTCTCTTCCGGGACGCCCCCGCAGAGGTCTGGGCGATGACACGTGTCCCCCAGATGCTGCGCTCGCTCGCGCTCCCGTTCGCGGTGATGGAATGGTCGATCCCGGGCGAAAACCTCCTCGGCTCTAGTTCCCACTCGCCCCTCTCTTCTTACAACCCCTCCCCCCGGAGCAGCATCGCGGCCGCCGCCGCCTCTGCCGCAAGCTCGTCTTCTCTGGAGCTGACGCAGGGGGGGGGTACTCCGACCCCCCCGAAAGAGGAGCCGGGGGAGAGCTTTGCGTTTGCATTGGTCAACGGGTCGCTAGGGGTGTTCGAACTCAGGGGGCGGCGCGTGAGGGACTTCCGGCCCAAGTGGCCGACGTCGAGCTTTGCGGCGGGTGACGTCCTCGTGACCTCGATGGCCTACCGGCTGCCGTACGTGGTGATGGGCGACCGGGGGGGAAATGTCAGGTGGGTTTGGGCCCTTCAGTAAGGGCTTTACCGTTCGGAATCCAGGCATCCGAAACCAAACCGCAGTCTGTGTCCAATCCAGTGCGTTTCCGCCTTCTGTCAGGGACTTGCTCTCGTGAACCCTGCTCGTGCTTCATTGGCTAGGCCTCAAATGGCATACTGCAGCCTGGGTCCGAGCCTGAATCAACGACTCTGACAGGCTCATGTCCCGCGAGTGCGCCGGCTCCACATGCAGGAAGCGTTCTATTTTTCACGTCCAGCAAGGCGAGCTCAAGAAGATGAGCCAAATCGCTATACTCGGCACTATGTTTACAATCAAGCCCTACACCTTCGAAGATGTACACCTAATCTTTGTCTCGCTGCCAGGTGGTGGGATGTTAAATCAGGCCTAAGCGGCTCGTTTCCTCTGCACCGTGGGGGCATCCGGCGGCTCAAATTCGCCCCCATCGCTAGCGGCGCGTCGAGCGACGACAAGGGCAAAGTCGCGGCCCTGTTCACGGACCACTCCATCGGGATCTTCGACTTGGACTCGGGGGAGCCGTTCAACGAGGCGTTCGTTAACAAGGCCCATGCCAGCTTGCCGGTAAGTTGTCTTTGCGGACCATAAGGCTTTGATGCGTTTATGAATGCGTGTCGGTCTGCATAATCATTGTCATCTGAGCCTTTGACGCTTGAGTACGGGCGTGTGCTCAGCATCCTTGCGATGAGTGCGAATTCCGCTTCTGCAAAGCCACTAAGGTGCTAATGATTTGACAGAGGTGCTCGTGGGGCGGTTTTACTTGAGCTTTGGGAAAATAGTAGAGCTCGAGCGTCTGCATCTGCATGCGGACGTCACTTCGGTGCCAGGAGTGCGCCGCGATCTTGGCGCTTGAAGATTGTTCCTATGAAGGCAACCGGAAAGGCCTCTTTGCCTGAACGGATCTGTTTGGGAGGGCCCGTCAACCGCACTCCTCATAGTGTTGAAACAGATCCTTCTCTTCTCGTCGATTGCCCCACGTAATGCTCCTCCCCAGAAAACTTCTTAGATCGTGCTCCAGAAAGTTCAGTTTTCTGAGATCAAAGGATTCCGCGCAGGTCTTCGAGATGGAGTGGCTGCCCCACTCGGGCGACCCGCACGAGCCCCTTCTCCTGGCGGTGGTCGCTGCCGACGGCAGCTACCGGCACCTGGACGTCCATTCCGACGTCCTGCGGGCCCACCCCCGGAACCGGAAACTCATCCGGCCGCAACCCCTGAAACCCCTCCCTCGATTCCGGCCGGTTCCGCTGACGAGCCCCCTGCTGCTGCCGCAAGCGCAGGCGCTCGCGTTGAGAATGTTGCTGCAGCAGGGGGTGCGGCCAGAGTGGCTGGAGGGGGAGGGAGGCGGCGCGCAGCCTGGGGATATGAGGTGGGTGCTTTCGCCAGAGATCACTTTTGTCTCTGTCGTCATTTTGGCGTCGTGGCAGGAGAGCTTTCTGCCCGCTTGCATGCAGTCCCTCCTTTAGGTCTTCTCATGGAGAGTGAGTAAGACGGGGCTTCTCAAAAGTAGTCGTCTTGGGGAGACGAACGATTGAACTCCTCAAGGGTAATTCTCTTGGGTGAAGAATGATTGAAAAGCCTCTCTTGCGCATTCTGCCATTGTGAGAGCAGAGCCTTAGGACTAACCAGGATATTTCCTTCATGGGCGGTCCGTGCCAAGCGCTCAAACCCCTGGTTTCAGAGATGCAAGCACGTCTCCCATCAAGCAAAACCGCACTCTCCTCCAAGATCCTTCTGCGATACGTTCTCCAAAAGCATCCGGGGCTATGACGTTTTAGATTGTGACTGGGCAATCTGAAGGGATGCGTCTTTGCTGCCTCTGTGCCCTGAATCTCCGTGCAACTGACAATCTCACAAATACGCGAGCGATTCGTGGACCCTCCTTACCGTACCCAAATCGCCACTCCCCCTTCTCCCAGGGCCGCCATGCTATACGCCACACCCCCCCTCGGCGAGCAAGCCATTCCCGAGGTCCTCCTCAACTCCCTCGAGCCCATCCGATTAGCCGGGCGGCTTCTCGACCCCCCTGCCGCGGCCGCGTACTCAACAATCGCTGAAAACGGCGCTGCGGCCCGCTGCGCATTCGCAGCGGCACTGTTTGGTGACGTCATCGAGGCGGCGTTCTGGGTGCGCCTCCCGGGGGAGCTGCAAAGGCTCGCGGACGGTTCAGCGGGGCCGGACGCGTTCTGGACACATGCTACGGACAGCGGGTGAGCGCATTGGACTGCCAGCTCAGATGCTTCAGTCTGCTTTTATTTTTTAATGCAATTTAGAGGCCGTAAAAGTCTTTGGTGGAGTCCGGCTCAAGGCTTCTGTCTCCTTCGTTCATGGACCCATTCGGCGGGGCCGGACGCGTCTTGGACACGCGCTGCGGACAGCGGGAGAGGATTGCGGAGTGCAAGCTCAGATGCTTCTGTCCCCGTCGGTTTCCTTCTATATACAGGTCCTTAAACTCTTCAGCGCGAGTCCAGTTCAAGGCTTCTGTCTTTTCGTTATTATTGTGAGATAGAGGTCCTGAGATCTCTCAGCGCGCGTGAGTCCGGTGATACTTGTTGCGCAAAACGCATTGGTGGGGAAGGACAGATACCATGTTTGGAATCTTTCGCATCGAATTTAACATTGACTGTACCGAAGGTCGCTTCAGTGACGCGCACAGTCTTGACTCCCTCTGCAATTTATGATCTCAGCTTCTTCAACTTAGACGCTTCGAAGTCGACCATATTGCGTATTACTCAATCTCCTTCACGTACTCAGAGCATCCAAAAAGAGGAGCCGAAGACGCGCAAATATCCTCTCAGCGTCCGCATCATGATTGTCGACCTCCGTTTCTAACCTATTTTCGACCATTTCGGACAGAGCTCCTAGCGAACAACCACCCCGGCGATCGTCCGCTTCCGGCGACCCGTCCAAAGTGGAGCCGACTCGCGTGCCGCCGCCCCTGCCCACCCCCGCGCCCAGCAACGGCCACGTGTCCCCCGCCCTGACCCGGTTGAACAGCGCGGCCTGGACCGAAAAGGACGCCCTCAAGAAGCTAGCCCGGGAAAGGATTGCCTGGCACGAGCGGTTACCGGGAGTTGAGGCTTCGCAGAAGAGGGTGCATGAGTAAGTTCTTTCACCCTCCTTTGGACTCGTACAGGGCAGCGAGTTCAGAATGTGTTGTCGCGGCTCTGACGTCAGTCTTTCGTACTCTTTCCGAAGTTCAGGAGCTTTCTGAAAGGAGCTGATAGTTTTACGACGTCGAGGAAGTTGGTAAGACTTCGGTAAAGGATGAGAGTTGCGCTGCAAAAGGTCCATGAGAGAGGGAAAGGGGAAAAGAGGCGACGTTGGAAAGCCGATTTACTGGAGATCTTAGAGCTGCTTGTTCCGACAAACACACCAAACATCCTTCGATCATGAGGGCTCTCCAATTTATACTCCGCAGTCCAAAGATGGATGTACAGCATGTGTAAAGAGGTACATGAACCGCACTATTCACACTCACTCCTTCCTGATCAGATTCATCGCAACTGGAGACTACGAGTCCGCTGTGACCCTGCTCTTGTCGACGCCACCCGACGCCGCTACCTTCCATAGCGACTCTCTCCGAGCAGTGGTTTTGGCGGCCGCCGTATCGCCCGCGATGCACGCGCTCGCTGTCAAGGTAAGCGGCACTACCGGTGTGGTAACGTGAGCACTACCGGTTCGACTACGTGGGCACTACCGGTTCGATTACCGGATCACTACTAGTGCGCTTCTGTAAGCAGCACCGGCCCGATTACTTAAGCACACCCGGTTCGTCCACCCGTCTTCCAAAAAGGGCCAAGGTTTCCAAACGCTTTCGACATCGCGGAAACTTTGCCCAGACCTATTGTTTGAGCTTGATCCGGGAAATGGCACTGACAAACTTTGGGCAATTTTTAACCTGGCAAGCCCGCCGAGCTGAACAAGTCATTTGTGGATGTGGAAACCACAGAGAGGCGCCGCTTTTCGAAAGCACTTGTTTGTATGCGCAGGTCGTGGCTGCGAACATGGTCACCACGCATGACCCGTTAGTGGGCACCCATCTCCTATGCGCCATCAACCAATACGTGGAGGCCTGCAGTCAGGTAAGGCCAGAACAGTTTCTGACGGAGGCTTTTGTATCATATCTTTGAAGAAGCAGCCAGCCGGATGGCATCGGTTGAAAGATCATACATTACATTCCCGATTAGGAGACACGACCCAAGTCTCGTAGAACCATGAAAGCGCGCTGTCTTGTCCTTTCCTGTTCTTTCCGAGCACCGTTGAACGATTGTAGATCACCCAAAACGTAGTTGCCTTGTTGGCTGGTTTTTGGATCGTACAGCTCTGAAGCAGTCCTCTGTATACTGCTGATGTTTTTAGCGTCAGCCAGTCCGATCCCTACGATTTTTCTGCACATAAACCAGTCATCTACCCTCCTTGCCCCGCAGAGCAAGCGCCTTCTAACCCCAGAAATAAGTCAGTAAGTCAAAATGAGCCGTTACTTCCCGTGAAAACAGTTTCTTCGCCTCCAGGACAGCCTTCAAAATACCTTCTCTGCACGCACGTTTCGCGTGCCTCACCATAATCTTTCGGGCTCGATGCAGTTGCAAGAAGCCGGCCGATGGACCGACGCCGGGACCCTTGCGGTGACCCATCTCGACGGCCTGGAGCGCGCGCGTGTTTTGGACCGGTGGGCCACGCACGTTTTGTACAGCGAGCAGAGCTTGTGGCGCGCGCTCATTCTATTCGTTGCGGCCGGAAATCTCTCCGAGGCGTTGGCCGCGCTCCACAGCGCGCGGCTGCCCGACACGGCCGCGATGTTCCTGCTCGCCTGCCACGAGGCCAAGGCAGCGGCGGAACGGAAACGGAGCGGAGTGGAACGGAACGACGAGGAAAGCGAAACGGAGAGTAGGAGTGAGACGCAAGGTTCTAAAAAGAATCTCGCTGATAAAAGTGGGGGCGAAGGATTGAAGCCCAGTGTAAGCGCCGAGGGGAAGGAGGCCGCAGCTGAAGGGGGGAATGCTGGTATTCACGGAGGGGGCTTGAGCTTGCCGGGAAGCTTGCACAGGGAAGAGATCACTGTTGTGGTGGACCATTACGGTCAGTTCCAGCGTTGGCTCGCCCACGTTGTCGGGTCAAGTAGTATATCGTCAGATTAGACTGACCCAAAGAGATGGCAACAAAAAGTCGGAGTAGCCCTGGATCTCTGTCCTCAGGTGCCACTGATGCATCGCTGCTCTGTAGATTTAAATACTGGGCCAGCCTGGCCGTGACGAGCAAGCAAGGCTGTCGATACCGTTAGCACCTCGGTACGTTAAGTGGACGAGGAATCAAGAGACACACACTCGATGTACCGACTTTAATTGCGTGTACTCCGAACCCTCGACATCATGCACGGTGCTAGTCCTTCTCAGAAGGATGACGTAACAGCATTACATATTCGAAGCGGCCTGATCACGTGTCGCTTGAGGTCACTACGTTCATTTGCAGATCGTGAGCAGTAGTGGAGTCCGTTAAGATGCCCCATCATTACAGACTTATGCTGACGAGGTAACGCTGCTTCTGTCCCGTCGAATGACGCTTACGGGTACATCGGTCGGACGGGTCAGACCATGCTCTCAAAGTATATCATGTGTCTACCGCAATTTCATGATGAGCCGGCTCGCGCTCCTCTTCCACTATGTCATCATCATGGTGCGCATTGACATCTGCAGCTGCCCATGAGTCTGGTTTTGTATGTTTCATCACATATTTTCAGTCCTTTGTGAAAAGGACACGCTCTTATAGGTCCACCTAGGTCCAATAGCACTCCGTCTGCATGCTCAGGCTGTCGCGGCAAACGCTTTTGTTTCAACTTTACATATGCTGGCTTTCAACATGAGCTTCATTTGAGCACTGGGCAATTATAGCCTGGTTTTTCTTGATCGACTCCGACTCTGACTTTGAGTGACTCCGACGCATGCCTAGGTGGCATGGATGCCTTTCTACGAAATCAGATTGAACGTCTGTATGCGTTAGGACTGAGCCTGCTCAGGCCGCATCTCCTGTACAAGAGAATATTTGCCAGCAGCGGAACGTAGCTGTCATCAATGATGAACCTGAGCTCATTGCGGGGGACCTTGTCCACACGAAATAGGCGGGCGCAGCTAGCCTAGGTGTCACGGCCCTGATTGCGGGACGGGGACATATTCCACGGCCTTTGAACAGTCGAAAAGAAAACAGAAATTGCATACTTTGAAGGCATGCCATGAGATTTGATCCATCTCTTTCGAATCACAGATTTCTAATTAGTGACTTTTACCTTCCTTGAGGTCCGTCTTTCAGGCCTGCCTTCGGGAAACTACCCAGAACGATGTTGCTCCAAAAGGTTCGGAGCCTGATTTCAAGTGTTTAGCCTAGTCACGTTAGACCAACAATGGATTCTACCACGACCGATGTTGTAGGTCACATGTGGCTTTATAGACGACTGATCTTAGGACATCATGCTAAATAGGCTGCTACTACTATAGTCCATAGGGCTTTCTGAGTGGGAGTCTGCCAGCCTACTACTACAGTCCATGGGGCTGTCTATGTGGAGTCCGCTGACGCCCTTGAACACTTCGAGCCCTGAAAGTCCGTTTCAAGTGTAGCTGAGCACACACACTCTGCAAATCGCAAATTATACCTCTGGCTGCCAATTCCCGCCCCGCCCTACTCAACCTCAATTGACAATTGGTAGATGCAAAGACATTATTGTTTCTGTCAGTCCTCTTCGACGAGCCACTATACCTTGAAAGCGAGAGTTGATCCAGGTTGCGAGCAGGCAACGAACATACTTAATTCTTCTAAGCCTCAGAGGGCGGTAGCTAAAGTACCAGAGTAGGCCGTGACAATATACAGCCAGTATGTCAAGTTACACACCAAACGCGTCGCTCTGGATGGAGGCGGTGCAACAGGGACTGCCGGCGTGGCAGGCACCACTTGAGTCGCCGTTGTTGAGCATTTCCCCGCATCTCTAGTTAGACAGCACGGCGCTGCGGCAGGGGCTGCTAGCACACCCAGGGTTTGCGGGTTTGGGGTTAGCGCGGGTGCGAGTGCGGGCATGGGGTTTCGCGGGTGTGGGCCTGGGGCCGGGGAATCATTTGCGGGCGACTGTTTGCGGGGGGAGGGGGTAGCATGAGCAGAATGTACGGCTGCGGTGCCTCGAGGATCGTGCCTGGTTCCAGCCGGACCAGGATGACGTCAAACGGGGCGATGGGGCCGAGCGCGATGATGCCAGTGTCGTAGTTGGGATAGAACACGCGCTGCAGCCAAACAAATCAACGGATTTGCGAGACAGTGCGGAGCACGTCACTGTAAGGTAGCAGGTCTTCGAAGTTGAGGCAAGCGGGTCGCTCTTTCTGCTCTTTGACGTTGTCTTCAGTCGCTGGATGGACCTTCACTTCTTTGCCATTCCGATCGGCCCAATGTTCGGCTGAGCCGGATTCTCAGGGCTGGGGGGCGGCAAGCGACAAATTTGGTCCAGCGCGAGCCGAATCTGAGAGCTTGCTGTAGACAAAGACAATCTGACGGGACGTCAAAAAAGTCAAGAAAGAGAGCGTCTTCTCAGGAGACATTCGGAACGCCCTCAGAAAGTCGAAGATCGACCAGTTTGAGGCCTTGTTTATATAGCAAGCGCCAAGCGAAGGCGATGTTATGGAGCGAAATCTTCTGCCAGTCGTAGAAAACACTAGAAACTCTCCCTACCTGCCAACAATACCGAGCGATGACCCGAGCCCCGGGGGGAACGTCCATATCCGCCCAGGCGGCGGTTATGCTGACCGATTCGAAAGAAGAACGATGAGATGATTGCCTGAGCGTGCAAACCGGCCCACACCTGCAAAACGAAAGTGCTTGTCATGCTTCTGTCCCAATGGCCCAGTGGAGTAATATCGGCTCCTTGCAATCGCAAAGACAATCGCTTCTTGTTTTCTATCGTCCCTGCTGACTCGAGAGAGTTAGGGGGTGCCGCTGCACTGGCCACTTTTCGACTTCTGGAAAAAGAACAGAACAGAGGGTTTTCCAATCGATTGGACGGCTTGAATGCTGGAGCGAAGCTCTGGGTCCCAGTCTTCGAAGCCTTCACAGGCTGACCACTCCGTCTCTAACACTCCGCGTCTAACACTCCGCGTCGTTCTCTTCAGTCGAGTATCTTCACCTGCCTGTCTGCGGAGCCGCCGACTCAAAGAACGTGAACCGGCGAAGCCTTATGGCAGGGGGTAAGAAAGATGCTAAAGCCAATTCTGAGCCGAAGTATCAATCAGAAAAGCAAACAAACGAGAAGTTCTTCAACGATGCGCCACTAGTACTCTCTATTAGCCGAAGTCTTCCCCGAACCTCTCAACTTAAGCTCCAATGAGTTGTGCAAACGCTCGGTGGTCTGTGCTCTAACTTCTGCAGATTTTGGAGCGCCCCAGCCTCTTTTTAAAAGAGCCAAAAGGCGAGTCGGAGCCTCAGCCCCTCACCTCAAGCTCCGACGAACTTTCAAGCCTGATCTGTGCTTCTAAAAACAAACGACCGAGACACTCCTCAAAGGCAGCCTCCTTTCACCAACCCCTCCCCTAGAACCACGAACGGTGCACGGGTTAATTGTTCTGTTCTTCTAAATGCTCTAAACTGTCTTTCAAAAAAGCCAAAAAGAGACGAGCTCGTGCACCAACCCACCTCTAGCCTCGACAACTTGTCCATGCGCACAGTCCCTACGCGCCCTGGCTGTCAAAGCAACGCCGTAAACCTCTCAAACCTCAGTTTCGCAAGTTCAGGATCGTGAAAACGCAAAGGCAAACGTTTGCACGAACCCCTCACCTGAAGCTCAGACGAGATGTGAACGCGCACGGTCGCGTGCGCGCCCTGCTTGTTCTGGTTGACGTCGATCACCTCCTTGTCGCTGAAGAGGGCGTCCGTTTCCGTGGTCAGGTTGACCAGGTCTGTTTTCCAAGAACAGGGGCAACTGCGGGACGGAAAGGCATAGCAAAACCGGTGTCAAATGTACGTCCGATTATTTAAGGACAGCCTTGGGAAGCTTCGTTTATACGACAGCAGCCCAAAACGGGCTTTGAATGAACATGTCAGAGCCGGTTCGTTGATTGCGGCCATCTTCCCCGCCTTCAAAGGGTTTGACAAGCAGGAGCGGTTGAAACGGGCAACTTAGGCCGGAAATTTTGCAACATGCTCGCCTGCCCTTTGGGCGATCCGCACCTCAAAAGCCCGGAGCTGCGAATAGGTGAAAGAGGAAGTCCAGGTTGCTTGACCAAAATCCTAATTGGAACATCTTTGTAAAAAGGAACCTCGCTTGCCCCGCTCAAAAGACCCTTGCCATCCTCAGAAGATCAGCTGCAAACACTCAATCCTTATTGTGACAAGGCATAGAGCGAGTGCAGACCTTACTCTGACGATCGCCCACACGCTAAAGTGGCCCTTCACTTCCTCAAAGGTCAAATCCCGTTCCCGATCTCAAAGCACGTTGGCGTCGTCTGATCCTGGCATTTTTAACCTGCACGAAAACACCATGTATGAAGCTCACGTCGACACTGCAAAGCAGGTAGCTGGCCCTATGCAAAAGTGACCCTCGCAAAATAATCCGATATAAAACAGATGTACCCACTTTTCGATCCATGCGGCTAACTTTTCGACTAGCAGTCACCATCGACTTATAGTAGTAAGCTCTTCGTTCGTCGAAGTTTCGAAAAGCTGGGAACCATGAAAAGCTGGGACTCCTGATATCCTCCATTCCGGCAAAGATTGAATCAGTAGGGACTCCAGACGTTTGCAAAGCGGTCGGCTCTTATGAAGCGGACATTCAATTCTGCTTCGCCACAAGATAGTTCCCTGCTTAGTCAACCAGAATCACAAGGATCCTTGTAAAAGTACAAGTTGAGAAGTACGTCAGGTGTTTTTGAACAGTACGGCACTTTGCGCTTCTACTTAGTGTTGGACAACCTACCAACAGCATCTTGCAGAACTTGGTAGAGCCTAAGAATGACTGTGACATATTGCAACTATGTACCGCCTTCCGGGCACCCGGGGAAGGTCTACCAATACACAGGATCAAATGCAAAGATCCTCAGACAAACTCTCATCGGGGAGAATTGAATCTGGAACATGACATCTGCTCTGGGTATCTTTGTATTCAGCCATTTACATCAGCGTCCATAACTATATCTTCCCTTATATACAAACGAGCTGCTTAGTGTTCATGACGTACCACAAAAATATGCACCCCTTAGTCAAAACCATGCGGGGAATACTGATAGGCACGACTTCCTCCGCACAGTCAGTCTTTCTTTCAACACTTGAGGGAGTGCATTGGGAAGAAGGTCAGACGACGGGCAAAAGTGCCTTACTCTGAGGATGCATAGATCCTAACGTTGAGCCCCTTGCTGTATATTCAGTCCCTAAGCGCCTTCATTGGCGATGTATCGGCTATCAGGCCCACCTGCAGCCGCCTTCCCATGTCTAGTCTTTCAGCATCTGGCGGTCGTCAAAGCAAACCCAGTCATAACCTGCTTGACTTTATCCAATCGCAACAGGTGCGTCCGCAGACTGCCGGATGACGGTTTTATTAGCCGGGGAAGTGGACTGATTCCAGGGGTTCCACCTGGCAAGGAGAGGCGGGAAATTGTTAATCACAGGCTTGGGTAGGCATTCATGCATGGCATAACCTAGTTCATTTGAAGCAAATGTTTCTGACCAATACCAGGGCAGACCACATTTCCATGGTCTCTCTTAGGTGAGGGGTTAGCTGAGAACCCTGCCGATTGCATAAGATGGTCGAGCTTAGTGAGGTTCCGGGTAGTAATAACAGGCATGAGCGGCAAACGCATTAGGCCGTTCATCAGTTGCTTGAAGTAACGCTCACTACATGTGCAGTGGTTTTGTTGGCGACGTGCTCGAAGAATTGACAATCCGCAGCCCCTCATCAAAGTGTGGGGAGGCAGCCTCTTTAACCTCCACCAAGATTAGAGCCTTCACCATGGTTACATCTTTCACCAGCAGAGGCGTGTGATTGACCGGTTTGCGAAAGGAAGACCAGTTAAGCCTTCAGAATCCTACAGAACCTTGGCATCTGACAGCCAGTCAAGAAGCAAAGCAAGAGGAATGTTTGCTGAGAGCACATGAGTGGTGTGATCTCGGCGGTCTCTGTACGGGCTCTCAATTGCCCCCCGTCATTCAACTTCTGCCGCTGATGATCGGACTGCCCCAGCCATGATACAGGGCAATAGCTTTCAGACACCGGCCAGACCAACCCAGTGTTGGGCAACTTTCTCCATACTCGCGGATGATGCTTACCCTAGTGATTGCAACTTCCGTGTTGACCATTGCCTTCATCGCTGCTCTGCGTCCGGCTCACGTTCAGGATAGGGAGGGGGGGTCTGTTGGCCTGGGACATGGCGCTGCAGAACCCGTTCAAGAAACGCTGTGGTAACTTTCTCGGCTTCAGGAGAACAAAAGATTGGGGCAAGAACGCCCCGCATGATCTCGCTCCCGCATCGCTGCGCCATCTCTCGCGCGACTTCCTGCCAGGGCACCCATCTGCCGCGGATATAGACTGATCCTTCTGGGATTGACTCAGTTGTTGCGTGGGCAGGCCCCAGGTGTTGCGCAGGGGGTTCGCGGATGCCCTGTCCCGCGAGCGCGCCACCCGCATTTGTGATTGTCTTCGCACGCTTTCTGTCGCTCGCCTCCTTTCCTTCTTCGTCGCTGCCTGTGCCCTCCTCAGCACTTCTTTTCCCCATAGCTACCCGCGTCTTCCTGTGCCGTGCAGCTGGTCAGGGCGGCGAGGTCGGGGGAGGGGCAGGGGATGGGTCAGGGCTTGGCCTTCTTTGAATCTCCTCACCCTTTGGGTCCACCAGAAACGCCTTTAGCCGTGCACCGGCGCGCTGGTTGACAGAGCAAGAACAGCTGGTCCCAACATTATTCGTAGATTCTGTACACAGTACACAAATCTTGCAACCATGCCTCTGTTGCTGGAAAGTGTACTGTTACAACGTGAAAAGTTCTTCCTGTGTGCTCACTGATTGATGCACGCAATGTTGCTGCTATCAGATCAGAAAAACAAGCAGGACTTCGGGGCTGCATTCGGGCACAAAGCTGTGCACAATATGGTCAGGATTGTGGAAAATACTCATCAAACTCTTCCCCTAGCTTGTGGTGACGGCCTTGCTTGATTTTGATGTCTCTGTCAAGAAGAGGTCTGCCTCCTTTACTGTCAGTGTCATGCTGCTGCCTCATGCAGTGTCACTTCCTTAACTGCACTCTGCATTTCTGCATTGCGAAAACGTCGAAAAATGTGAACAAGCTTCTCAAAGCGATCGCATCTATCGACGGCTGTGAACAGACAAATACATCCATACTGCTGACATGGCAGAATCCAATCAGACCATGGGAATCTGCTTTCAAAAAGTTGTGTGTTCACACTCCTGTCTGGCATGAACCTCCGTCCGCTGGCCTGGTTAAGTAATTTTTGGCGTACCGGGCGCAGTCCGGGCATCCAACGGTGAAATCGTTCTATTTTCTAAGATCGGACGGTACGCCGATTGCCTTTGCTGAACAGAAGGCTGAGTCCATCCCCGCCTAAAGGTCGCAGAAAGGAGGGACAGCGCCCGAAAGTGGTGAAGTCCAAAATTGTTATTTTGCCCAGCACCTCAGACTGGCCGCCATGGCTGCCGACATGGCTGAAATGAGCTGGGAGCAGCACCCATGACCAAAATTTCTCAAACCCAACGGCAACCTGAAGCTATGTGCAACCTATAAATTGAATACCAGCTGCTTTCAAAGGTAAATTTGATGCACATTCTCCCCCCAAATCCAAAATGTGCCTTTCAACCCTAAAAGGAGCCTCGGAGGCGCAATGGAGGTTTTGTTGAAAGTCGCCGGGGCAACTATACATCAAATTTTGCAATCTCAACGGCAAGACTGCTCTACAAAAAGCAATCCTAGCTTGCTGAAATGCAAAGTTTGTGGAGAAAGACCTTCTACTCTCCCCCCACAGCCCGTCCCTGCCTCCTCAAGCCCTGAGCACAAGGCAGCCATTGCGGCAGTCTTCTGCTTCAAATTACTGGCTGTAGGTGTTCCGGTTTAGGCCTTGACTTCCGGGACTTTGGTTTTACTGAGCACTTTGTCAGTCTTGGGCAACCGCTGAAAGTGCCCGGGGATTCAGCGGAAGTGACCGTCGATGTCACTTCCTCTGGTTCTGAACCGTCCGATGCACATATTTATCTGAACATTCTAGGGGACAAGAAGTTTATGCCAGACAGGACACTGGTGGGCCTGCTTGGGCGCTTGCGGCTTGATCATGATTTTGCAGATTCCAGAGCTTCAAAGTTCCAACTGCACAAGAAAGGTTCAGTGTGCAGCGAACATAAAACAGGTGCCCACATGCGCAGGACCAGGAATCAAGCAGACCATTGGCATCAGACATTCTCCAGCTCTCTCTCAGCTCCACAAGGTGTCAAGCAAGGGCCTGTTACGTCTTTTGATTCAAGTTCTGCGGCGGTTGTTTTTGTTGGGGACCTGGGTTTTGAAACAAAAGAAGGTGCCATCAGAGACCAGGAACGATGCCAAAGTCTAAGAGAAACAAAGTTGGTAAGTGATCTGCGTGGGATTTTGATTGTAATGTGGTCAGGGTGGTATTGGTTGGATCGTCGCTTCGTTTCAGTACTTTATTGTCGGCGACTGCTTGCAGGTGGTATGTTGCGAGATGTACCGATAGTTCAAGGGTTTTGGAAAGCGGCGTTTATTTTTCCAAGTACTTCATGTGGTTGTATTGATGCACCACCTTCCCATCGAACATATAAACCTGCCTTTTCGTCCATATGTGTGTTTGCCAAAGTGGTACACCATTACCATATAGTTTGAAGCGGCGCCGTTCGTTCTAACTTTGTCAGGCGACAGCTGCTTGTCAATCAGAAGTGATGTTAAAGTTGCCACATTCTCTGCCATGTTATGTTTCGCAGTGCTGAAAAGTGGTATACGAGCGTCAGATTGGCGGTTGCCACCGATTCAAGGCTGCTCATTATCTACCCATTTTCACACCGCTTCTTGTCTTGCAGTGACGTTGAGTCAGACGAAGAAGAAAGGCCGCGAGCAAAAAGAGGGTGTCATTAACAAAGTCCGGGCATGCTTTGACGAGTATTCGTCAATGTATGTGTTCCGGTATGAAAATATGCGGAACACGAAACTGAAGGAGCTGCGTGACCGCTTGGCCAGCAGCAGCAGGTAAGAGCTCCCACCAAGTGTAGCTTGAAGGATGATTTCGCCGTGATCGAGATGGTGGTGTTCTTGCTGAAATGGCATTCACCTCTAGCCTCCAGATTGCCAGGAACCAGTCAAGTTCTGACCTATCTGACTTGTGAAAGCGGCGAACCGAACAACAGCGTGTCGTCATATATGGTTCAAATTCAGCCTTGCTCATTTGAAGGAGTATTGTGAGGCTGTGATGCCGTCGAGGTCCCCCTCTCTCGACACCGACTGCTTTTGTGCATCTGCGCTCTTACAAGACAAATCGTTTTTGATGGACATCTTCCCCTTCCGTAGCTTTGCCTCTCGTGTTCCGTCTGATATCCACTCACCAAATGTGGTGACTTTTGAGATAGCAGCGTCAACTAAACCATCGTTTAGGGATGGCTGCTGTCAGCATTTTGAAGTTTGCTGCTAGCCAGTTTGAAGCCTTTAGCTTATGACGCGCTTTTGAGAGCCGCACGGCTGTTTCACCCCTGTACAACTCTGAAGTACATTCTGGTCCAGTTTATCGCATGCTCTGCTTCGGAAGCTTGTAGCAAGGTTTTGTGCTGCTCGAAACCAGGCTCCCGGCCGACTTCTTTACTACGCCCGCTGGGAGATCATTGTATCAGACTGCTTTTCTTAGACTTTTCATCAGGATAGATAAGCCCAAAGATGGGCGAGCTGTTGGGTTAAGTGTCCGGCGGTGGTGGGGGCTCAAGGCGCAGACAATGATGACGCAACTCGCACCTGAGATGTATCATTGAGGAGACAGATTACCTTCTACTCATTCTGAGACTGCGCACTTGAGACCACTTGCGGACATGCAGAACTAGAGCCATGGCCCTGAGCAAAACTGCTCCTTACAAACCGGTGTCCTTGCATATGCAAAATTTGGGGCGCATAGTTGCATTGCAATCTTTGGAAGATCATGTGTCCCTTTGCATCTCAACTTCTGGATATTCCTTAGTCCTTCTTCACGAGACGTTTCATTCCTGGGAGAACAAGTCAGCAGAGCACAATGATGATACCACTCGCACCTGAGACTCGTCTCTGAGGATAGAACACCTTCTACTCATTCTGAGTGCTCTGCCAACAGTTCCTGTCAAAATGTCTCTCTGCGCTTGGGTGATGCAACCATGGATGCATTATATGGGGTGGACATACATCTGCAATGACCCTAGAGGTTGCCCGGGACACTGTTCTTTTGCCGTTCTTCTGTTGTTGTATCAGTTTTGTCCTTGCCGTGTGATATGCTCGGACTACTTTCTTTTCCAAAACAAGAATTCTTGACGCTGGACATTCATACTTGTTCTGTTCGACTTTGATCGACTCATTTATATCAACTTTTGTTCTACGCTGAATGCCAAATTGGGCTGCACTTGAGCCGTTGAACGACTATAAGCGTCGCGCCTAGCCCACCTTGAACCTAGGTCGGTCGCCGATCAATATAATTTCATAATTACCCTTGTGCCCCAGGAATGTTTTGGTTCTCACTGTCTGTGTATACTGCCCGTACGCGGACCTGGGCACAAGTTCCTGTATGGTTGCTTCTGCTGCTGGCTCCACTTGCGGGTGGTGTCAAAGTCATGTACTAGTGGCAACGTAGAGCGACAGGTCTCACAGAAACTCATTCTGTCCTTTCTGCCTGGTCTGCGGAGGTTTACAGAGGTCCTGAGCGCTCCTTCCAAGCTGCTGGATACAGAAGCAGTGTTGCAAGTCATGTCTTGAGCGTGAGCTGGCTGTGCAAAGCATAGTCAGTTACGAGCGCAGCTTCTAACGACCGAAAGGCTGACTTGTGCGATGTCTGGCCGTTGCAGGTTCTTTCTGGGGTCGAACAAGGTGCTGCAAGTCGCCCTTGGCAAAACCGACGCCGAGGAGTATAGGGACGGTGCTCACAAAGCGGCAGAGGTGAGAGGTTCCGTTTTTAGCAGTCTACTGGCCGTTTGCTACTAGACGGTCGACAGAAGGCGGTGGACTGGATACTTTCACATCAATCGCCGCGCTTAGCAAGCACGTCTGAACGAAATCATCTGCTTGGTTGGTTTTGCTGCTAAGCTGTTGGAAAGAGGTGTCGGATGTCCCGTCTGGTCGCTTCGCTGACTTAGTTCATTTGGACGGTGAGGGAAAAGCTTCTGCTCAAATCTGCTTTAACTATTTCGCGACACCCGTCATATTTGTCATGCTCATTGTCTGTTCGTTTCTGTGCAGCTTGTCAGCGGCAACAGAGGGCTCTTCTTCACCAACTTAAGCAAAGATGAAGTGATGAAGTGAGCGATCCGGGTTGCACCTCTCTCTTTCTATGCTGCACAGAGACCAGGATTTTATGTCCACAGATGGAAACAAACGTCTCATCGTTTGGAATCGAACGTTTACTTCCTTAAGGTCTTCTGTTGGAAAAGTTCTTATAGACACCCTGGTCCTCGTGCTGCCCTTTCCCTTCCCTGCTCCTGAGTTTTCCATGTTGTGGACGGTCGATGTCATTATCCAGTGTTTGGAACGGCATGCTCATTCGTATATAGGCAGACGAACGTTGCCACTTTGTTGTTGCTTCGTACCAATACATGTCAAACCGCCGGAACGACAACTAATCAACAGCTGAGGGTGTTTTTATGTGCTCATTGTCATCTGCTGCCTATCTTGCGCCACCTGTCTTGCGGGCACCACCAAGAACGAAACTATGTCGGTTAGGGAGCATGACTCTGGCAATTCTGACATTGTGACCGGGGCGCTTTTGGCAGGCTATTCGAAGACTACGAAGAACTCGACTACGCTCGGACAGGAACGAAAGCGACGAAAACGGTATGTACAATAAAAGTGATTTCAATTCAAGCAGGACCCTGCAGACTTGCTGATTACGTATGTAGATGTTGACAAATTTCTACTTCCTAGCATTAGAAAGACTCGAATGTTGCTGGAAAGCAACATAACGACATCAGTGCTAAAACCAGAATTCTGGTCGCCTCTTTGTTGTCCATTCGAAAATTCAGTAAGCGACCTCGTTGTGATGGTCTTGACTGACGAGACAGCTCGTTACTTCCCCGATTCGCAGTCTTCTTTTAAAACCGTACCAGGGCGCAGTCCCCATAGTATCATCGAAACAAGCTGTCCTCAGGCGGGCTGCATTTCACCAACCCATCTCATGACCCAAACACAAAGTTTCGTTGCACACAGGGCGACCATTGGGTTCCAATTCCATCTACGGATCAATGACCAAGTCACCCGGTTAACCGCGAGGTTATCGACTAACCACGATCTGACCAGTGCAGGTAGAGCTGCCGGAGGGGCCCCTAGAAATGTTCACGCACGACCAGGAGCCGTTCCTTCGGAAACAAGGCATGCCCACGAAACTAAACCGAGGTCAGTGGCCGCCGCCCCCCCCCCTGCGGCGGCATCCGTCTCTCTCCACCAGTGTTTCTGTCCTCCTTTATCTAGTTCTTCTTGTTAAGCAGCCAGCCGTGTTCAGTCAATTGGAAGGTGAAAGTTTTTTTGTGCAGTCTGATGAAGGACTTAGTATAGCGCATCTGCGACAGAGCGCTTCATTCAGACGTCCGACTTTGTTCACTTTGCTAGGGCTGCTTATTCTTGACCGCCAAGAATGTTACAATTACTGAAACAGAACGATTACGCATGGGTCAGTCAACTCCGCTTTCCTTTAGTTCCCACTCGCTTCGACCGTTGTTCCTAGCTTCTGGGACCCCGTTCGATGGAAGGCCTCCTTATTGGGGGACGCTCGAAATGAAAATTGTTCTGGAATTTCGTTCAATGAAAGCATCACTGGCACAGCACACATGGTGCCTTCTCTTTCGCCAAGTCAGGTTCGACATAAGTGCAATTCTGTCGCACTTTGCAAGTGTCGGCGACCAGAGACGCTGTGGGCGAGCTTTTTAGTCGCCGAAAGTTACGAAGTACAGCACGCCTCCATATCGAATAGGACTGAACGAGAAGTGAAGCTCGAGGATCTTGACGTTGCCCTTATTTGACACCACTTTCGTTGTTCAGGAGTGGTAGAGCTGGTGTCCGACTTCACGGTGTGTAAAGAAGGGGCGCCGCTCGCCCCCGAAGCCGCCAGAATACTGGTGAGCCACCTAGCCCTTTCCCCCGCTCTTAATGTTGACGCCAGGTGCCGGACGATTCGAGACCGTTTAGAATCAAGCTTTGATGAACTCGCAGGTTGTTGAGAGCTTATTATTATCCGTTCGAGTGCGGACTCTGCTAGTTTGCCCTGTCCTGAGAATAGGCCTTAACGTTTTCTAGGCTGGAGTTAACGTGGATTGATTCTCGTGCTGTAGTCCAAGCAGCATATGCAAGTGGTGATTGAACGTTATAAGACTTGTGGCCGAACACTGCCTCGCTGGCCAATGACGGGCCCTTGCCTGGATGTTGCCTGATCTTACTAGGAGGAGCCGAAAAGATGCTCATACAAGTTTCTGTCAGTTGAGGAACTAGGAGGAGCGTTAAAACGTGCCCATAGATACATCTGTCACTTAGGAGATGGAAGCAATGGCCTTTGATTGTGAGTAAAGCGCTCGGAGGGTTACCAAGCAAACCCCTGTGGCCTTATTGCTTGTCGTTGGGGGGCCCGATGTAACAGCCGCTGGACACGGCTCCACCATGAAATGGCTGGACGTTGTGCACAATCACAGAGGATTCAGACAATCTGTATAAGTGTCGGTATCTCGTCCGAGTGGGTTTTCTGTGTTACACCAGTCTAAATCGCTCTCCATCTGCTCTTCGTCTACAGTTTTCCAATCTAAATAATCGTCTCGTTTCTTGCAGAGGCTACTAGGAGAACAATTGGCAGCCTTTAGAATAACCCCTATAGCGCTCTGGACGAGTGACAGCTTTGAGCTTTTGGTCAGCGAAGAGGAGGCGGCTCCGGGCGCGCAGGACGATGAAGGGGAGATGGAGGAAGTAGAGACGATAGATATGTAGGTCAAGCAATCGCACAGCCTTCATAGGACACCTCAACGATCCAAGAAAAGTGATGCGCATTTTTCCGGGATCTTATGTTTCAGCCATTTAGTTAAGAGTTTCCGTTTCTGGCAGCGCAAGCTTGTGAGCCCACTCCTTGATTCTCGCACATCAGTGTGTGCAACTGATCCCCTTTTGTTGTCACATCTTTCCGCTCTACCTTAAGCTTATGCACAGCGACACTGTGTCGGGTCTTTCGATGAATGCGCGAATGCATCGGATATCTTTCGGTCAAGTAGATTCTTCCAGCCATGATGAATCCTGTCGTGTTTTTGCGGTTGCCAGGCTCACGGGCGGCGCACATGTATGCATATCAAAATTCTGTCGACGAGACACGGCTCGGCGATCTTATGTGAATCGCTCTCATGACCGTACAGCGCGAGATTCAGGCCGGCCAGCAATGGTAGCATGCACAAATATACGAATCAAGACGAGAAGAAGGCTGCGATATGTGCGCGGGTGGCGCCAATCAAATGCGTACAGCGTATCGTGCAGGGAAGTAAACGAAGATATCGTCATCAAAGCTACGTTGCAGTGCACATGATTGACGGGTCCGGCTCCGAGCTGCAAGTCTACATTCGATGATCCGTTGATCCATAGCCGTTCAATCCTATGGCCGGAACTACCCGGCACAGCTAACTATGAGACCAGCGCGGCGCATCAGTGACAGAGGAGGTGTGCGCTCGCGGCCGCCGGGCACGTGCCAGTCATGATGGACAAACGCACTTGCACAAAGTAGTCGCACTAACGTACTCAAGTCAGCAATTTTCGCTCAAGTTCGACCTTAGCTTGCCTAAGAAGTCCTCAATCCGATCTTTATCTAGCGCCCCCTCAGCTTCATCCGTCCGCGGCTCGCTCATCAAAAAAGGCAACCGTCCTGTCTTTCGCCTTCTACTACTACTCTCAATGAAGAATGACGCCTTTAGGCCAAAGCCAGCCTCGACCTCCTTACATCTGACATGAGTGGAAAATGCTAACCGCATAGTCATCCTTCTAATCGTACATGTTCCGCTACACCATAATCCTGCACGTGCACATAATTCACAGTCGTCAACACTCATGATCTGATGCAAGTTTTCAGAAGGCCACGAACAAAGATCTTGTTCCCTGAACCCCACCCATACTGTCCTTATAAGCATGATTGAGAAACACGCCTCCGGCACCCCATTTGTTTGGCACCCCATTTCTTTCCACACTTGAAACATCGATATCAGTGACGACTGGCAGCAAAAGAAAACCCGTGATAGCGAGCAGGTAATGACCTAGTCGAAGAGACAAAGTCTGACCATTCAAATTAGGCGTGCCATCGTTCAACACGGGCAGCACCTGCGACCAAAGCGATCCCGTCTCATACATAACAACAAAAAGAGGACTGGAATCTCGACCGACGTCTTCAAGCCGGTGAAAAGGCCCCGGTTCCAAAGCACGCTGGTCCGCTCAAAGCGCATCTACGTGCAAAAGCAGTCCTTTTTCAATAGCCTTCCACTCACCACGATAAGTTTCCGCGCCCGACCGCTTATGGGTGGCCCGCCATAAGCGTGAAGTTCCTCAGCAGCCTATACAGGCGGCTCTTCAGCGGCGGGTCTTCTTCCACCGTTACGCTCCTCGAGATTTCCACCGTCACCCGAGTCGCCTCCTCTCCGCGGACGTCCCCCCCGGGTTCCGTCACCGGAAGCGGAACCGGAACTGGACCGGTCGCGCCCGAGGGCTGCTCCCGGTCCATTGCCGCTGCGATGGCCCTTTGCCGCTCCCCATAGTCCGCCAGGCTCACGTCAGCGTCCTCCACCGCTTCGACGGCGAACTCTTGGCCCAGGTTTCCGGGCACGATGTCGCCCATCTTCTCCCTGCGTGTGTACCGAAGGTTTTGTCTCGCACATGATCAAAGAGCGCGAGTTTCAGGAGTCGCAGCAAGCTGTGGCTTCCGAAATGGGATTTGAGATTGACTGGTCTTGAAGACGGTTGATCCAATTGGCTCTTTCAGGAGTTGCGTGTTTTAGCGAAGGGCACACGTACGGGTTTTCAGCAGCGAATCGGAAGGTATGAAACGTACGTATATTGTTTCGGAAGGTTCGGTGATGCAGTTGACCTGGTGATGCTTGCCCCTGTGGTTGACAAATTCAAATCAGAAGAGGATCAGGAAGATCTAGTTCTGTCAAGAAAGTACGCCGAGGTCTGTATAGAAGTACCTTCGCGAGCGAGCCTTCAGAAGGGGGCGCTGAGAAACACCGTCTGCTTCTAAGAAACACCGTCTGCTTCCTTTCAACAGATTCTGTCAACTCCTCGTATTCGAGGTCGAAGTTTCTGACACAAGCAAGAACGTCAACAGAGAAAAGAATCTACCCTAGCGGATTCTGAAGTACCATGGAACGTGACTCTATCCTAGCTTTCATTCAGACAACTTCGCAGAACCAGGAAACTGTCAAAGACTAGTTTGAACGGAGTCTCCAATCTATCTTCTTTACCTGTAGTAGACGACTCCCGGCTCTCGGGGTGCTTTCGTCCCAATCGGATCGACGTCGTGCTCGATCCCCGCGCGAATGATCACCACGCCCCTCCCCGGTGCGCCGGGTCCCCACCTCCCCACGTACTCATATTTGATGTCGGTTTGCGCCTAGCAGGCAGTGAAATAATCAAGTCAAGCGGAGTGGCTATCAAAATTGGTTCAAATCTCCGCCCAGGGAACGGACGGGGGCTCCTTCAGGGATTAAAAGTCAGTCCAAAGCGACGGGTCCAACAAACGATGCATGTGAAAGATGGTAAACGCTCAGAGTCGTATTGTGAGTTCTGGGGAGCCACTCTGTCTTACTACAAAACAAACAACCTCCCCATTTTCGTTGAGTTGAGCGAGACGATAACGGAGCACCTTCTTTTCAAGTTCATGGATTTTACAACGTCAAGAATGGCCTGTCTCAACACAGAGTAACAAGTACCTGGTAGGCCTCGGGGGACCAGTGCCGCAGCATTGGTGGAGTCTTGCGCGGCTGCCCGGGGGGCACAGCGACGCCCGGGTTGCCCGTGGCCATGCCGCGCGCGGACAGCGCACGCCCGGCGGCGGACGCGCGCGCGGCGCCCCGAGCAGTCGCGACGCCCTGGTCGCCGGTGGCGAAGAGCGCGCGCGGGGCGGAGGGTGCGCGCGGGGCGCAGCGCCGCGCGGAGGCGGCCGCGAGCAGGCTTCGTCTGGCAGCCAGCATGTTCCTGTGGAAGAAGGACCACCAGAGAGTCTGATGATTGGAATGATTGGAATTCCTATTTGGTATTCTGACCGTTTAAGAAGGCTTGGATTTGTGAAATGGATGAAGCGTGATACGCGAGATTGTCAACGGACGGGGTGCCTCTGTGGATAAGATTACTGAAAGTTAGCGGGCCAAGTCCCGAATCGTTGCGAGGAAGTTATAAAGAAGCACCTGATCACATTCGCAAGTGACGACAATTAAAAGTACTGGGGATCACGAAGGCATGAAGATCAAATGGTCAACGGTCCCTTCAAGTCTTTCCAGAGTTTGACGACTTTCTGCGGTTACGCTATCACTGTGTTCGTTTGGAACATCGAAGGATCCTGATTGTTGCCCCGCTTTCTACAGAGAGACAGCTCAGTACTAGAAGCCACGACATCTTGCTCACGCAGAAACGACTACAGGCTGGTTACACTCCCGAGAATTCGACTAGAACTTTCTTCAAACCTCGCAGTCAGAAGGAGACCCGAATGCAGCCGCTTGTATCACCTACACTGACGGGAATAACTCGACCAATTGTGCAGAAAACCGTCTTATTGGAAGATGTGTCAACTCTGACGACCACCGTGGATCTGAGCTGGGCTTCCAGCTCGCACACTAGCATTGTCGTGTACTTGACAATGCAGGTTTCGAGCAGAGCGGTAGCGCAGCTAACATGGATATGCAAAGGAGCCAGCGAACTCAAACACTAGGAAGGAAGGAAGAAGGAAGAAAGGAAGGAAGGAAGAAGTGACAAAGACACTGAGGCTGAGGGACAGGAAAGATGCAACGTAGACCTTCATGCACTGCTCTGCCCGGGACTGACCGAATCAAGGACTCTGAGGGCTAGCTCAAAACAAACCTCTTACCCTGGAAGTTGTTCGTTGAGCTCAGCATCTCGTACATTAGTCAAGCCTTTAGCGACTTCTATAAATCGATGCGTGGTTTGATATACGGACCACATTCTTGCAAGTTGACTGCAAAAAGGCCAAGGCCGAAAAGTACAACCCAGAAAAGCTGAGCCGCTTTATGTGGTC